TAATACTGATGCTTAAAGAGGATGCTAGCCGCCACTCTGAGTGATAACAAAGATTACCAGTTCACAATCAAGTCAACGAGAATGTTTTATGCATAATTTAGGTCAAACATCTTTTCTGTGCCAAAACATTTCCTCGTGTTAAGGATTCGTAAGTAGAGATAATTAAAAGCAGTTATGACTGTTTCCATGATGGTCCACACATATATATGTAAACGAGACGTGAAACACTCTATTCTATTATAATACATGAATAGTGCCTAATTGTGGTGACCAATACCGAACGAAGGTCCAGGTAAAAGATTTACTTCCACACGAAAAAAGAACAGCTGCCCTAGCGAGCAGCGAGGCTATTCACCAGAAATAGATAATGACAGCAGCCGACGTCTATGAACAATCTAAAAAATAATGCGTTTGAGTGCGACTAGCCCGAACAGACAAGTATGAGCAGACGCCAACCCGTCAACCTGTTTGCGCATTTTCTTTTTTATCGTCGGTGATCTGGACACGTGGGTAAAGTATGTTGAGACGAATGAACGCATCGACTAGAGCGAGACAATTCATAGATGTAGTGAGTGTATGTTAAGTAGGAAATAACACAGCAGGTAGATAACACATGGTAATACATAGATCATATGTCTACGTTAGAAATGTTCAGGCCGTCTTTCTTTTATTTACCACTGTTTTTTCATATCAGCATCTGCAGCGACCATAGAGATTATTTTAAGCCTAAAAGTTCACGCCAGATAGAATACGCGTGACTTGAATTCACTCTTAAATAAACTACTGTGGTATAGCAGAAGTGGAAACGCATTTATAAAGCACCTTATCCACGCATATTCACTACAGATTCGGTTCGGTACTGCTTAAAACCTTCGAAGTGAAACCTTACCTCTGTCACTGGAGAGAAATTAAGCAAATGTCCGCCGCTGGATTAAAAGTCAGACTACATACATGTCTATGGGACCTAAAATACTATAGGCGTTTACGATACTTTAAATATTGTACTGCTGCCTTAGGAAATTACAGTGCAAACACAACCATTTTGTTTTAGCGTGCACATAAAACCGATTAGTTTTGCCTGTTTGACCTTCGATATGAAACATTTCACAGCAAAGCAGTACTTTCCCTCTCAGTATTTTCTCCTTTCTTTGCCCGCAGCAGCCTAGGGAAACTTGCACCAATTTATCTTCCTAATTAAATTCTATTTATTCCTATTTTTTACTCTTAAACTGAAACACAGGCTTGTGACGGTGAAATTAAATACTCGCAAGGTATCCCTTACATCGAAGGTGCCCGTAGTATTAGTAGGTCCAGAGAGCAAAGGATAGCCTTACTCATCGATAATTTTTGCGTCCTAAAATCAACACTATAGGAATTAGTCTGCTACATTGGTCAGTACCATTCAAGCCTAAACTAACGTATAAATATATTTGGGCTCCAATGGTGGCCCAGTAGCGGTAAATAAATACAACGCTTCATAAAGGAGCCGGCTATAGATATTCATAAGACATATATTAACGTAAAAGGTTTACTTTCTATTAAGGGTAATCTGTCACCGCATATAAACATTGAGACAAATGGGCTATACCCTAACATCTCCATTTTATGCTCTAATGCTGGGACTATTTGCAATCTATCCATAACATGCGGCTTTGCCCTGACGCGCGCAGGACTCAGCTGGCATGCCCTCCCTCAATGAACATCGGCATCAACGCAGTTGGTAACACTTCTTCCCTGTAGACAACAACTTAAAAATAAATGATGCATTATCATGCTTTGGTCCAATTTCCATACTGATGTTGTTTTTACTGTTATTACAGGAGAAGGTTGCTCTTGTCGATGCCATCATGTGCGTCTGCTAATGTGACTGCTTGCACCCATAACAGTGTCATAATGTGTATAGGTCAAAGGTTATCGGCCTAACAGTTTCTGACGAATCCTACTTCCATTCGGTTGAATTACAACCGGTGCAGATGCAGCTTTAGTTGACTCTGTCTATTATTATACTTGGTGTCTATTATTGTACTATATCACAGAAGCTAATGTACTTTATTCGGAACTTCATACGTTTTGAATTTCGTAGTAAATATTTCTATAGTAGTAAAAATTCGTAGAAAAAATTCGTATTTCGTAGTAAAAATTTTCATCTAATAAAATGCCTTGGTCATGACGCTTGACTTTCTAACTAATTCCATATCGAGAAAAATTTCTCTTCACGAAAATTCTTCATTAAAGTACCTTCACGATCGGTTTCTATCCAAGCAACGTTGAAATAAGTAACTGCGATGTTTAGGAAAAAAACAACTCTGACCACAATTTCGTGCGTTTGTATCGGATTTATCAATACTGAGCTCATTGCATGTGTGTTCTATCCCACTCGAGCGCAGACTCAGGCTTAAGCTGCCACGTCTTATGAGAGTCAACTGTGTTAATTCAAGCACGGCGTGACGCGTCGTACAGACCCCAGCCGCAAACAACGACAGTGTGTACAAATCGGCCAAACCTCTGAAATAATGGCAGCTCCCCTGCTCTGCGTCGCAGCCTTGGATATATACAGGCTGATGCGAAAAGCTCATCTCCGGGCAACTGTGAAATGTGGTAGCGAATAACACACACCAAAAGAGCAACTACAAGGCGAAAGTGCCACTGTGTTGTGGCATGGAGCACTGACTGGTTTTTGTAGTGGTGATTCTACCAAAAAATTATTGCCATTTTCTTATACCAGGTCTCCTAGTCATGTCGGACCGCCGCTCATCGCGCACATAAACTAAAGGAACAGAATTTTACTTCGCAGCATTTCCTTCCCTTGCTTCTTATTCCCGCAATGTTGTATACACCCTATTAGCAAAACTATTACAACTAATAGGATTGGAACTGCTGGCATAACGTGTATCTATGAAATGCCACAGCAAAAGCCGACCAATCAACGGCCCACAGAGCAGTCAACGAACGGGAGGCACACCGATAGCTCCCTTTTCCTAAATGCAGACACTTGTAGACATCAGACGCGATGACTCATACAGCGCCAACGTCGACTATAAAAAGGAAAACGGACGCACCGAGATATTGAAGCTGTAACAGCAGAAAAACAAGATCTATCCGCTAACCCCACAGCGGGCAGCGATGCGAACAAATGGACCAGTGCCAGCCAGCACCACCGCTGCTGCGCTCAATGCTACGCTGCTGAAAGCAGAAGTCGCCAGTCAGGCGCTACCGACCGACGCTAGCAACTGTAGGAGAAAACGCAAAATGTTAATCCGAAGAAAAATCCACAAGATCTGGTCTGGCACCATAACAGCAGCAGTAGCGAAGTTGGGGTCCATCGAGCCGCTGTTGAAAACGAGTGCGCTAACGACATCAGCAGTTGCTTAAATGATAGAATAACAAGAAAGAAATAGCAGGAAATTGTAGGTATCTTCTGAATGGTGATGGCATGGATGCCATCAGGAAACCAATCGGCCGCCCGTTATCATTTGTTGTGTCAGGGTCTATAAGTAGTCGCAGAACATCCAAGAGCAGGGAAAACGGGACAGAAAAATAGCTTGTTTTTTATCGTCCTCATTTCCAACAAATATTGTTCTCCCCCTACGAATAAAACAGGGCGCAAAACAACGCCGAAGACGTAGTTACGCGACGTCAGGTGTTCGATGATGCAACTTTTTCAGGATGGCTGACTCCTTGTATCCCTTTTTCTCATCGTTAGACTACGTATCCTATATTGCAGATATATTTACACACGTACCTGGTATCAGTGTTTCTTGCAGATGATCGGGTGACGCAAATGCTAGAGCGGACAAGCTAGTACGGTCTGTAATGAATGTGGTAACGTGTTGCACTCAACGGCAGCTGCTGAGTACCCGAAGATCTGTAGCAAGCTCATTGTTGCCTACACTACTACCGTCTCTGTTGCTATAGCTGGCGTTGCTACAGCTGTTGATAGGCGAAGCTGCCTCGATAACAAGGATTGCTGGCAACAACATTGTTGTCATACATATTAACAACAAAAGATTACATTAATATTAACCATAAGTATAACAGTCCTATTACATCATAAGAACAAAAACTACGCGTGTATCTAGCCGGCCGTTTAGCTGACTCAACTTTTGCAAAGCCAATATTATCGTATCTGTTTTCGCTGTTGGCTAGTCGCGAAAGGAGTTCCTCTTTAGCTCTTACATACATTACGATGCACACGAAGAGACGCGATGCATGCGCGTTATTTTTGTTCTGCTGGGACTCAGCTGCTAAGGAACGAGTATTTGTAGTCGATTTGGTCCGAGCGGTCGAATAAAAAAGGTGGGTGGACAGTGATCTTGTTGTTGTGTTACGCTAGTTGCAGCGTTGCCACTTTTCACGGGTAAGATCGTCGTGTGCGTCACAGCTTCTATCGAACAAATATTACAAACCCACTTTGCATTTGGCATGTTTAGAAAAGGCATCAACTGGGAGTAACAGATTCCATGTATCGGACGTAACAACAAAAGTGAGGAAAACAAAATAAAACACAATAGATTAAGTTCTCTATTTACTGGAGGAACAAAACAAAAAGTTTATCAATTTTTCTTTTCCGGAGCGGATATACAATAGGCTAAAAGCTAGTTCTTGATTTCAAAAGCGCATGTATAGGCGTGAAGCGCAGAATATCATACGAGCACACGATACAGCCACTGTGAATCATTTAGCGTACAGAAGCAAACAATTGGTAACTTTGCTATGACATTAATACGATCTAAGGCTGTAAAGAGTATGAACGCTATTTAATGTTTATACCAAATAGATGCTGTGCTACGCACAATGCAGAAATAGACCGAGAGAGACAGGTGGGCAGGCAGGCACTACAAGAATATCAGGTTTTGATTTGATGGGCATAGCCCATATTCCGCTGTTGCTTTTGCATGCCCTGCCTGCAATGACGAACGTTCCTCCTACTAACAACAAGTAAGATTACCTAGTATCTGGACTACCCTATGTTAGCCTGTCTGAAAATACGCTCTACTTACTTCTCGTGTAAGTGAATCAGCCTGTTGGGGGTCATCAATCGTTGTGGGTCCAGCTGCACTGGCTCCACTTGGCCGATCCTGGAGATCTTCGGCTAGGTAGGCAATCAGGTGACTGTGCGCTCTCCGATAGAGGTACGACAGTCGTTCGAAGTCGTCGTCGACAAGCAAGTGGTGCTCGTCATCTTCACCCCATAGAAGCCCCTTCGGATGCAACGACGGCGTAAGGGGTGCCCCTGTCAACTGTAGAGCACCAATACCGCCCCGTAGTGAGTGGCTATGATGCAAGCCTTCCGGGTAATTCGACCATGGAGCCTGTGGCAACGAAGAGTCTGGTGATAGGCGCCCCTGGAACAAGCCGACGGCGAGAAGCAGTTGCAACCAGGCAGACTGCTGGTGAGGTTTCTTTCGGAAACCGACACGGCTACCCCCGATCATTTTGAACCAGTCTATAGGTTTCTTTTGGCTCTCCTAGTAGCTGTCTTATTTGTAAGTTATTTCGCACGACACACGCGCTACCTTAGCAAATAAAAAGACGATATGTTTAACAGGTTTGTATGGAACAGCCGTAATCAATATCACAGTAAGTCCCTTCGTCGATCAATATATTTATTGTATTACCCCAAAGTTTTAAGGGGTGATAGTGGCACTCTTGTGTACTCTCACACAAATTTCGCGTCGTAGGCGATCTAGTAGAATCTTATTGTGGTGTAGGTACAAGTAGTCGCCAACTCTATTTTTCTATGTGTAGACCTCATCCGCTCACGAGCTGGCTGACTCACTGTGAAACGTCCAAACAACCGCAACGAAAGGTACACTTATCCACTAAAATTTTTGCTATCATCTATCAACATCAGCGATCCGTTTTCGGTGGCGCACAGTTGCTTAGGTTCAGAGTTCTTCCTCTTGCCTCAATCACACCGCAATTGTATTTGTTCTTTGGTATCAAATAAGAACAGCAACTTAAAGTAACCTTTGCTTAGATCAGATAGGAGATACATTACAGGCCGCTGCCACTGCGTACTCCTCCCTCTGATATATGCACCCGATCCTGTTTGCCCTCTATGGTCTCTGATGCACTCTTATTTTCCTTGTAAATTTTGCATTGTCACGATGGCCTTCTGCCGCCGGCTGCGGGGTACAGGCACCACGACCACTCTAAGGTAAAAGGTCAAGAGTAGTTGACTCTGTTAGCCGATTTCTTTGTTTACTGCCTTCCCTATAAAAACAATTGTACTTAACTATTGTTATGTTGCACAGAGCTTTGCTACTGGCCATGTAGCGCGGGCTTTAGCGAACACAAATTCAATTCAAGTAACAGCCACGAATAGATCGAGACACTACACAAAAGAGTTGATTGCTTTTAATACTTCATTACTCTAGCTGATATTATATTTTAATAAAAACCTTCCGCTTTCCCAGTGTCAATGCCGCTTAGCTAATTGCATTCAACCTTCTCATCAGGCTAACATGACAAAATACAGTACGCTTTAAGCAAACGTGCACGTTGTCTGATTCTTTCCTTATAACAGATAAAATAGTGGAACAGGCAAAGCGACTGACGTTACTGTTCCCTGCCAATGTTCCTGTGGCCGATCGGCAGCGTTCAGCCCACTACCACCAAGCGAATGTTTGTGCCTTTCATTTATTGTATTTTATCAGCATTTGGCAACAGCGCAGCAGCTGCGGCCCTTGTTACTATCGTCGCTTACACAGTAGCCATTGCGCATTTGTCATTTCTTCGTCTCTCACTTGAGTGCCACTAACAACAAATATTGCATGGTGCCACAGACTGAGAGAAACACAACGGCAACCAGTTTGTTAGAGACTCTTAGCTTCACTCTCCCAATTCTTCCATCGACGTGCGGCCACCACTAACAACGACGACGACGACAACTACCGACTCGTGCGGCGCTCTCCAGATAACAGTGCGCTCTCCAATGGCTACAGCGGCAGCGGATGCTCTCGATACCAGCTGCAGTGGCGGCACCCTGAAGCAATTGAGTTTACGTTGGTTTTGTTCGTTTACAACCAGCAATACCCACACACAAGCAAACACGAACAAAAAATACACAGAACTTTAATTGCGCTCATATAAGCCATGTAGATTGGCAGGCAGTTGGCCCCTGGCCACAGCGCGGTCAGCAAACACTTCCAGCACCAGCCGATTCTTGGTAATGGGCAACAATTGCCTTTTCGACAGAATAGACGACGAGCCGACGAAAGCCTGAGAGGAGATTGTGTTGGGTCGACCAGTACCAGCAGCTGTCGAGAGTAGTGGAGAGGGTGAAATCGGTGGCGGCAATTTTCGAAACGTTGTTTGGCAGTATTCATTTGGACGGACACGGCCTGTCCGGATTTACTACTGGCTTTTAGCTAACTGATCGCGGCGTGATGCCACGATAGTATGTTGGCTATTTGCTTGGAAAGTGAATCGCGATTCAATGCTGCAGTGATAGCCAACTGAAAAATGCCCCTTTCTGGCTATCGTTGCCGTAAGTCCAACTTGTTTCCCCCTGCTTGCTCTTCCTTCTGTCTTTGCCCTTTCCACTTTGGGAGCACTTGGTATCACAATAGATCATAACCAACTATCTATCCTAGGCGGGCACTTCACACGTGGGACGAGTACAATGGCATGCCACTAAATTGGCTTATCGCTCACAATACAAGCGATTAGTAGAATAATCGATGAGTACACCGAAATCAAAGAAAGCTTAGAAACAAAGGTTTCACCTGACTTGGTTTTTTCTTGTGGTGTCAATAAAGGGTCTACTGACCTGGAAGCCACTCACCGCATAAGCGGTTATGCATTAGCAGAAGATGGCCACCCATTACGCAGGGACTGTTATTGACAATTAGAGTAAGGAAGAAAGATTGTATCAGTCTAAATCTTTGCTAATTTGTGAGTAATATCTAGGTGAAATGTGCCTTATGTAGAGATGATGATGACTGTAAAAGCATTAAGTAAGCTATTCATTAAGGGCTTACCTATTCATAAGAATTTTGTTTCTAAATAACACTTAGTTACTTTTGTTTAATAATAAAATATTCATAAAGCTTTTGCTAACCGAATGAGGTTTTTAAGGTTCCGTGACGAAATTTTAAGTCTGTATTGAAGACACGATCCTGACTGATCCGTTCAGTGTGTGTAGCCCTCTTAATTTACCAGACTGTCCTATTACCTTTTACCGTTACGTCTCAGGTCGTAACATATTAATAGAAATTCGGCTTCATTGAACGTAACTAAATCTCTGAACTGGATTTCTAGAAAATAATATTCTGATTACGCGGATTTTCTATTTAGGATCTCATCAAATACTTCAAAAGACCTGCGTTGTATACCATATTGGCCCCTTGCCTTGTTCAATTATTTACATTTTACTACAACAATCGGCAGATTTCGAACCCCAGAACAGCTCGCACTATTTATTATAATTAAACCAATTAATGCAACTTGAGTCACTGCGTCATCTTTCCAGTCAAATTTATAGGCAGGCTATAGGGTACGTCCATGACGTAGGAGAACGTTAGCTAACAAAGAACGCTGCCTGATTCTGAGCGCTTCATATATCACGCGTAAATGAGGGTGTACTAGTGGGATTGCATAGGAAAGTGAAAAAAATGGGCTCCAAACGTTTCTATTCAAAGGATGATGACTTACCATCAGTACTAAAAATATAATCAATGGATTCTGAGGCAAACCACTAGCTATTATATGGATAAACCTGAAATCTTCTAATTTCTCAAACCACTGTGATAACTACGAGTTTCTTTGCCTAGGCGACTTTTCCTATATTGTATCTGTGTTACGGAAAAAGGCGTGCATCTGCAGCTGGCTTTAGATCCGGTACGATTCTGGTTTCTCCCACCGGATGGGTAGTTCCAAACATTTAACCCACCTAAAACAGGTTAGTTATGGTCCATTTTTTTTTATCTAGTATTTCGACGTCAGTCGTAAGAGTTTTATGTGCTTAATGTACTCTCTGCTACAGTCCCCACAAGCCACAGTAACTGGTAGATTTTTGTCTATGTATTTGTTCTTGTTTTATGTAACTGACTTTGAAGAGTGCTATGAACACACAGTGTTACTATGTGTCTCATTTTTACAAATTATAGTTAGAATAAAAAAAAATCGATTGAGAATGGTTGATAACGCTTGATAGTACTACTTGATAATAATAATATGGAATACGAAGTCCGTCACTTAGACTATATAGGAAAAATCCAACCGGAAAGCAGCTACCGCGCAAGCAACGTCTATAAGAGACAGAGGGAATGCTGTCGTATGCACAAAATAGTAGGAAATAAAACAAGCTATTTATAATCACGCGATTTGGGTGAACCTGGAGCGTCGCGCTCTCCTTGGAAGCGACATTCAGGTGAAGCCTGACCCAGGGCAATACAGAACGAACGTTGATGGACACGTTTGGCGGTTTCTGGACATATTGAATTGTTCCTTCCCATATACCGTGCAGGTCGGCTTTTTCACAAGCTTGCAACTGTACAGGACAATTGTTCTGTTAGCAAGAAACAAGGGCAGAATTTCGTTATACATTCACAGTGAAAACACCCTTCTTTAAGGACGCCTCTATGTATAAGCTGTTGTTCGGCGTTAAAACAAGCCCTAAAAATAGTCTAAGACGCTTTCGAATTTAGAAAGCTAGGGAAAGTTTTGTCTGCAACGTCATTTCGTAAATCCCTCGCTAAGAAGTACTTTTGACCACTACCATATAATCCGTAACCATGGAATACTGTAAATCGAAAAGCAGTGAATTCTGCTGGCAAATATTCAATGGCCTAACACCAAATCCTTCTCCCCAGACCTATCGCAGTAACATACAATGTCGATTTGCTTACAGCAGCTCGTCGCATATATCGCAGTCTATGTCGATTAATGCAGTAAAATCTCATGGCAACGTAATCGGTTAAGTTCATCAAAATCACGGCTATCGCCAGTGTCTATGTAAAAACATGTAAATTCTTAGTAAAAGTTTGGATTGTTTTTTAAACATGGCATTATTGCTTATATGAAATACAACGCTAACACTAGTAATCATGATTCATGGTCGGCTTTGCGTATATAATTCCGATACAGCAAGATTTGAATACATAGGCAAAATGAAAAAAACAAAAAAAAAAATCGATCGTCATGAATACCATAATTTTCAACAATAATTGACATAATAAACTGTCCTGTAGAATATGTGTCATATACCATCTTGATTTGTGCACTTTTTCCCATTAGTTTATAAAGACGACAGAGCAAATTATGACTGTGTGTCGTCTGCTCCAAGGAATCCAACGAAGTGTTCATTCTTCTTCCTTCCACCACGCCTCGAGTATCTATGCAAATATCCATATGGCACGGTGTCTTGGGACGACTGCATGTGTGAGTGTCCTTGAGCCCAAGATGGTACTGTCAGTGTACGTAGATTTGCCGTTGTGGTAGATAACCTGTGTGTATTTGTCGCTGCGTATTGGTTAAAATGTGTTTCATCCTATGACGAAGAGGGCCTGCGGTAAAAATTGTATAATTCATGCGAAGGACGAACATACAGGGTCTGAATCATATGCTAACTACTAACGAAACCGGCTTTACTATATCCAGAAATCCAGTTCCATTCTTTTCTGAGTACAGGAACACGAGCCAATAAATGCCACTTATGTAGCTCTGATTTACGCATGAATGACTTTAAAAAACACCGTATTGTAGTGTAAAACCCATAAGTTCTAACTAATAAAGTAACTGTCATCTAATGTCTTTTTCCCAGCTAGGGTATTGATTTATACCCGGCCGCAACAAAATGAGTCGAATTCTAAGATGTGCAGCTGGCCATCTGCTATTTCAGGAATTTTTTAATTTATCATGACTTACTTAATATTTATTTCCCCTAAGCTGTATTGGATTCAGTTTTCCGGGATTGGACACGATTAGATGAGTTAGTTATTACTGGTGATATAGTATCCTCATTTTTATGCGTATTAAAATTAGATTCTGGCGTCTTCCGAAGCATTTGAAAGCAAATATGGTAACGTTCTAAAGTAATTCGACTGCATTGCCTGATCCCGTTCAATAAGCGTGCGACGTATACGTTACAAACAAATTCAAGCTTATTTTTAACTGTTGCCGTTTATTAATTCCAACCCCTCTCTCAGGCACATGAGCTCGAAGTTCTATTGTACAAAGACGGGATTTTTCAAAAATGTTCATACTTTTTCCTCTTTGTAAATCGAAAAAATGATTTTTTCACGTAGTATAAGTTGTGAGGAAAAAAAAAAAAATATATATATATATGATAGATAACATTTGCATTTTGCCTTAACTTATTTTCACCGTAGCATTATTATCGGACTCTGTTTAATTTGCCAACAAATGATTTTGTTGGAGTTACTTACGATTTTGTCTCATTTTGTATTGAGTTCTATTTCGAATTTCTGGCTGAAAGTGACAACTATTTGTAAAATCTGTTTCGCCCACTTTTAGCGGATAATAAATGCCATATTCGATTCTTTTTTTTTTTTTTTTTTTGTTAGAAATTGCGCAAGCAACACCAAGATCTAGTTGAACTCACCATTGCGGAAATGTTATGTTGTTATTTTTAAATGAACCGAAAATTCGTTCCTGGTGCTTTTATGAATTCACTACACTCGTACCAACGGTTGCAGTCACGACGATTCGTAATCCTTAAGCAGTTTAGTCAATACAGATTTTGAATACAACGAGGTGAAACTTTGCTGTGATATTTCTGCGGGGGTGGCACCACAGACTCAGCTCTTTTAAGCGTTTTCAGCACAAGTCTCCAAGTTCCAGTCACTTATTATTGATTTTTGAATGGTAGAGTGCCCCTACTGCCCATCCGCGCATAGGACCTTTAATTGCGAGTCGAATTATAAGCCCCACTCACTCAGCGTTGAGTAGGACACACTTGGTAGCAGAAGAAGAAGAAGAAGCAGTACATGTGATCGATCTTCGTCATGTGTTCCTCAAACGCGATCTTTCGTTTTTTTTTCGCTGAAAATAATTTTGCATTGCTTTTTGTTATGGTGTATGTAAATAACGATGAACGATTCTAACGAATAAAGCTGACTATGCTAAAGGTTATTGTGGTCGTATGAGCGAGACATACTTACAATATGATCTGGGGGAACCTTTTTGACGCTGCTATATGCTTGCTTAGAGGGAACCTGGGAGGCAGTCGGGTGTTCCGGATAGCGCAATGTATCTGACCGAATTAAATTTGGCTGGTGATGCTAAGCGCAGTGCTTTGACAGATATCACAAAATTTCGATGCTAGTTGCTATGGAGGCAGTTGGTGGCGATGAGGCAACGCAGATGCAGATAGCTTCAATGCGTCGATG